TTGTTAACAAGTTTATACTTTGTAGTAACTTATAATAAGGCTCTCCTTTTTTACATACAAAAGTTTTTTTATTTTTATTTTAAAATAGTTTTGTAATTATCTTGCTGTACTTTTTTCTTTTTTTTTTTTTTTTTTATATTTTTGTTTTTTATTTTTTTTGTAAGTGTTGATAAGTCGTGTACATTCCAAATAATCTAAAATGTATTTTATGGAATCAAAGTAAAATCTAACTTAATGAATATAAAGATTCTTAATTTCCAAAATAGTTCTGTACTGATTTTGGGAATTTAGTACAGAAAATTATTTTTTCACTTCTGTAATCTGATGAAAAAAATATAAATTAGCTTATATACATATTTCACTAAGACATTTATTTTATTACATTAAACATTAAAGGTAATAATATTTTTGTTTCAGTAAACTTTTTATGTATGGCAGCTTGTGGTTGTTAATATTTTTGTTGTCTTGTTATCACATTCTTCATTCTTATTTTTGTTTTCATTATTTTTCTTTCTCTAAATTTTGTATAAATTTTGTTGTTTTTAAACTCTCATTTGTCTTTCTTAGTTTCCTACATCAATGGTGCCCAAACTATGTCCCATGAGACAAATCTGGATCATGAACATATTTGACATCACTTGTAAGTGATAGAAATAGGCCTACTTTTGGTGTATATGGAATAAACAAAATATTTGTGGTCTGCTGACCTACACCTTAGGTCAATTTGGCATGCCAGTTGTAAAGTTTGGGCATCACTATCCTAGATCATAAACTTTATGATTTCATTGGTCATGAGCTAAGATCACAATGTTTGTTGTTGATTTATTTGAAATATTTTTATGGATAATCCAGAATTAAACTTTTTCTTTTAAACTATAAATTTATTATATGGCAAGATTTTCTCTTAAAGTCAAAATCTTGCAAGGATTGTAAACTAATCTATATAAGCATACACTCAAAAACTCAAGCTAGGAATCAAAAGTGTGTATGTATTGTTAAAAAGTTTATCTTATATCCTGGATTAGATACATTTAAAAGGAAATAATCATTATGTTAAAGGTTTTTGTCATCTGTTCTTTTAAGAGGAACATTTCTATCTGTATGTATTATGTATTTAGTATTTACTGTAGTTTAGTTTTGCTAGAATATATTGCATAAAATTGATCACATGCTCTAAACATATATATCAGTGAATAATCTTGCATTCGGAATATATTTTTGCCATACAGAGCATTTTTGTTTTCTTAAGAAAAGAATGCTAGATTTTAAACAACTATTTTTGAGATACTGTTCTGATTTTCCATACTTTTAAATTTTAATTATTTCAAAAGTACTATAAGATGTAAATTTTGAAGGACTGCATGCCACAAAATGTCATTTAGGTTTTGTTTTGATATTCTTTCATATTTAGAGGTATATGTGTATTGGCTATGGTTCATTATTAGAAATTTAATTATCATTCTAAATAATTCTAAAAAGTTATTCAATTGCTACAAAATTCCATTAAGAAATTATATAAATTTGTGTTTAACATGTTGAGCACTGTGCAATAAAACATTTATATGAATCTGGGAGTTTTTTTAATCGTAACAAATATATTTCTCTCATTATTTTAACGTTTGTCTTTTTGTTTTTGTGGAAAAGGTATTTTTGGAAATGCCCACAGTTGACCATAAAATCTCATGGACAATTTTTGGTTCCTTGAACAATGTGTCAACTGGTAGAAATTGAACACTGGCAATATAGATATCCAGGAAAAAGAAATACCTGTAGAACAAATGAAAGAACTTTATAAATGCAAATTTACTTACTGAAGAAAGTTAAAGGGCTAAAAAGAGTGACTAGAAAGATATATTGTTATAAATATTTCAGTTGATAATGTGCTGATACTTAGGCCAAAAATAAGTTTCAAACAAACCATACTTCAAACATGTATCAACCAATAATTTAATATCCAAACTTATTGGATTTATAAGCAATGTACTGAGTAAATTTGCATTTTTTACTCATTATACTTTATTCCAGTATAGATGCCTCAAAGAACAGACCACAAAAGTCTTGGAGTTCAATTTCAAACCTTTGTGGACTCAAATCATCTTCCTTGGGTTGTGTTGATTGTAGGGCATTATTTATTTGGGAAGCTCTCCTCACTTCCACTTTGTGCCTGTGCAATACACCTTCCTAACTTGTGGATCATACTTCAAACTTTTCAGCCATGATTCCACACTACCCTAGTCATCCCATATAACACATCATAAACTCATGCCATAAAAATTGAGGTTTTTGTTTGCATTATATTTCAAATTCTGTTCTTTCTTGTACTCATTAACCTCAAAACCTGTTGTGAAGTTTAAATGTTTCTCAAAATTTTAAATATTCTAATGTCATGGGCCTACTTCACATAGTGATATTTCATTCTTCATTTGTTAGCCTGATGACAACAATTGTGTATCATTGAAAGTACTTGATGTTAAAATCATTATAGTGCATTTAACAATGTATACTTCTAGTATTATACTTTATTCCTGTAGTCCTCAAGAATAAATCTTTGAGGACTACAGGTACATGATGAAAAAATTCTAACTGGTATTGTTCTCTTTTTTCCAGACATCATTAATTACATCTATTGGCTATATTTAAAGTGTAAAGAAACATAACAGTATGGCCTAAGTTTGTGATTAAAAGCAAAAACATGTACAGGTAACCCCATATAACATGGTAGTTACGTTCCAAAAAATTGCCGTGTTATGCGAAACAAAGAACTAGTACGAAAAGGAGGGTTAGGTTCCAAAAATTAAAAAACATGCTACTATATTTTCATAATTAAGATAAATACATATTAATATAAGTGATACATATTAATATAAATTAAACAATGTTTTCTTTGTCATCACTAAAAGCACTATTAACTGAGAGCGTTTTATTTTTGGCAGGTTATCGTTATCCTCTGAGCATTTTTCTGCATTATTTTCAGATTCATGCTTTACCTTTTGCAAAAAGTATGTAATTTTAGATTGCTTGCTTCTAGTTAAAAGATCTTTATAAATTTCCTTATATAGTGCTAAGCACTTACGGAATAAGGGAAAAACATTTGGCAACACCAGAAGCAGAAGTGTCGAGATCTGGCAAAATTGAAACAATTTTCGCAAAGGACCATATGTATGGAGGCGAGAAAAGAACATTTACATACTGAAATACTAATAGTTCATGAAAATAATAATTTTTGTGAACTATTAGTACTTAAGTATGTAAAAATTTATTACATTTCATGTTGTAGGAGGGTTTTACCCATTTCTCGAACCATGTCAGAGTGAATCAGTGCTATAAAAGTACTGTGTTATATGGGGGTGGTACCAATTCTCGAATCGTGTTAGAGTGAATCCATGCTATAGAAGTGCCATGTTATACGGGGGTTACCTGTATATACATATACACTGCATATGTATACTGCTGACTAAACTGAAGGAGTTTCGACTCTGTAGCTGTGGTTCTGAATTTATTACTTGATAAAATGTTTTTTGAGATTATTCTATATCCTTGTCTGATCATTGGGTTTGAATTATTTCATGATTAGAGGAATGTTTATGAATTATTTTAAATTTCTGGTAGGTGTTTTGTTCTTACATTTTATTTTAAAGTTTATAATAATTCATTATCAGATTTATTATCTTGGAAAAAAAACATTTTATCAAGTAATAAATTGACTCCTTAAAAATTTCTAGCATTTTGTCTTATGGATGATATAAATAGCAAGTGATATACATAGAAACTGAATGAGAATTACAGAAATAATGGAAATGCACCTTATTTGTATTCAGAAAATGAGTTTCATGGATTAAGGATGTTTTCGATCTCTGTTTATAGTACCTCATTTACTGCCTTGTAGACATCAATTTTAATGATGAGCATGTAACTGCTGCTACCTCCTTGTTTTGTAGTATGTTTGACAAGCTTTTTCTTTGATTTTTACCCAGTCATTCACTATTAAAGTTCCAACATTAAGTTCATCTGCTATCTTCTACATTAATTCACTCTTTTCTACTCTCTGAATCATCTTAATTTTTTTCCTTCAATAACGATTACCACATGCTTCTTTTTTGCCAATACTGTATTTTAATGTGTAAAACACATCTAGTCTGAACTAGGAAGTAACAAACACTGAAAAATAACCACAAGTGCTGGAATAAAGGAAAATGCATACATTTTATGGGGATAAGTGCAGGAGATTCTTTGTAAACTCATCAGATGGGTAGGTGGAGTTCCAAGAGCATGGCACAGAAAATTTGGAGTAGTGTACATTTTCAAAAATTTTTTGTTGCCTTTGATTGGTCTGTATAAGGGAGAATCTATGTATATTATTTAGGAAGAACTTTTCAGATCAGTAGAGGAATAAAATGGTCAAAGGGAGTTCCAATAGTTATTTGTTACATTAAAGTCACCACACAATATCATGGTGAGTCTTTGGAATGCAAAGGGAGAGGAGAAAGCATTCAAAATGTGCAAAGCTATTAGGGCAGGGTGCATATATGATAACAACAATACAGTTAAAGTTATTTATTCATATGGAAAGAATTGAATCTTGGTATTCATGTAGTATTATGAGGCTAAGCTGATTGGGAAATATACTCTACATGATGCTACCACTCCTTTGGGAAGCTCTAAAGAGAAATTCAGTTGAGTTTATGATTTGGGTGATGTTGGATGAAATGAGTTTCTCAAGTTTCAGTAAAAATGCTTATTAATGTGGCACAATAAATGGCATGTGTAATCACTGTGAAATGAATTTATTTCTTGCTATTGTTTTATGGAATACAATTAATGTCATAAATCATATCTGAAGTTTCTTGCTAATAGAAATTTGTGTGTAAGTAATTCTAAATTGAGAACTTTTTACATTTTGGTTAAAATATGTTTTTTCAATATTTGTTTATAATAATAATAATTGTTTAATAATTTTTATTTCAATATTTGTTTAATGATTTGTTTATCTTATCTTTCAGGAACTTGAAAAAGAGGAGTATTTATTAACAGAGGTTTTTAAAAATATTGATGATAGAAGCTTATTATATGAATCGGTAAAATTATTATTTGAATGTCTTAAAACAAAAATAATTACTGCACAATGTTTATCAGAAAAATTAAGTGACAAAGGACGAAATCTTAATGCTCAGACAGTAGATACAAAGAATTATAAATATTTATGCCAAATAAAGTAAGTTTTTAATTTTTTAAGAATTAATTATGATTGATTATAATGAGGGCAAATTTTAAAAATGAAATTATGAACAATGACAATGGCTGATATGTTATTTTTAAAAATGTTTTTAATTATGTTATAATATTTAGGTTATGTTGTTATCCAGTCAAGCATTTAATTACAATATTTTTCTATGCAAATTAATTTTTGTTGTTAATTAATGAACAGGTTAATGTCATTTGTTTGTTTTCATTACATATTAGTTAAATGTTATATTTGAACTTTTAAAGATTTAGGCAGAACTAACATTTCTTATATTACTTCTCAATTTAAAATGTTTATAACAATGTTTATTTTACTTTTAGAATTAAAACAATTTTCTTAAGTTTCAATAATTTGTTTTCAATAGTTTATAAAATTAATTAATTTATCATATTTTGTGTTTATTTTATGTATCTTACTTTTTTATTTTTATTTTAGGCTCAGAATAAACAGGAAAATTTCTCGATGTTCCCTTTTGTCTGAAAAAGGGCGTCACAGAATACCAAATCTAAGTATTCCATACAGAGCTTTCATTAAAACTAGATACAAACAATTTCCACAAAGATTTTCAAATATTTTAGATTATTTTAAAGCAAAAAATTTTATCAATTATAAAAATGATGATAAATTAGATTTTATTATATATCAAAGAAATTCACTCATGCCAGTTTTACAATTAGGAGTTTTTAATAATGAAAATCAGTTGGATATAAATCTTAAAAAAGGAAAAGTTCCCATTTGTTACATGGATGATGTTGAGATGGATGTAACCAAAAATACATTCCACTTGTCACCATCTTTCCAAGGTATTAAAATAAGTAGAATTTAAAAATATTTTTTTCACAAGTAAAATTTTACAATAGAATAAGATTATATTAAAAATTCTCATAATTTATCTTTTCTTCTAATTTAAAAATTCTTTAATGGCCTATATTTTATTTTTTAATCTGGTTTTTTTTTTATTTGAATATTGATGCACACAAAATTTGAAATTAAATATGTGAAACCTGACAATATTTATAATTTGAATAATATTTTTAGTATCATTATAAGTAAACTTATTTATTATTCTATTTTTTTTATTAAAAATGATTAAACTCTAATATTTTATACAAAAATGTGAAATTTTGTTAAAAAGTTCTTAGATTAATGTATGCAATTAGCTCTACTTTAGTCAAAAAAGATCATTTTAGTTTAAAAAAAATAATAAAAACATTGAGGACATTACATAATTACTAAACTGGTTCTAGGTAACTAAACTAAAATAACCTGGTACTAGATAGATCAGCCAATTAAATATAAATCTAACCATTTAAAATTGTTTTCTAATAGCAGTTACTTTTTATTTATGAACTAGGAAATGTTAACAGCAATTTAAAGAATTTTAGTGGTACATGGCCACGAAGCAAAGTAAAGGGAAATCTTTCTCTGCCCTCTCTTTGGGTGTCCGAAAACACAAATCGAGAGAGGGAAATCAAATCAGAAGAAAGGTGCATTCCAAGGAGTCCAAAAACAATTGGAGCAGGATTGGGTACAGTTCTTGAAATGCAAAAAGAACATGATAAAATGTCCCGGCATAGTCCAACTCAGAAGGATGAGTTTTGGGAAGCATTATGGTCACATTATGATTGTCTGATGGATGATGGTCTCATTGCATCATGTCGTGTATGTATATTGTTTACCTGTTCTGATCATAAAGTTTAAATCAAATTTTTAACTATCATGCTCTTAAATTTAAAATATCTTCATTGATAATTCTAGCATTTTTAAAATGTCAGGTCTACCATTTAAAGTTAGTTTTACTTAAGGTGTTAAATGTAAATATACTTCACTTTAATTTACAACTTGTATTCATTAATTACCATCTTATTATTATGTATTGATTTTTTTTAATAATCAAGCTGTTATTTAATTAATTGAAATAATAATTATTGTCTTTTTAAATAATTTTTTTTTTGCAAATTGTTAAATCAACTTTTTTTCTTATAATAAATAATTTAATTTATTAAGGGAATCAGTATAATACTTGTTCTTAATAAATAATTAATACATATAATTTACATAATAAATAAGAGATGAAATTTTTTTAAATTGATCAACTAAGTAGAATGAACTTTTTCTTTTACTATATTAATATTTTAATTTTATAGTTTGATTAATATATTTTGTCAAATTTTAAAACAATTGTATTTTAATATCAACGTAAATTCAAATTTATGAACTCTTGTAACTTGAATAATTCTGAAGATGAATTACTCTGAAAACATGCAAGTTTTAACAAATTCAGTTGTTCTATGACTATCATTTTAAAAACATAAATGTCTTTTATTATTTGTTTTTGAGGAATATTAAAGGATGATTGTTTAGTTTTTCATTACATAAAATCTTTGAAAATTATTTTTTACAAAAGTAATTAATTGCATGATTTGTAGCATTGCATTTTTAACAACAGGGCTTGAAATTAAGCTATTTTTAGTAACATAGTTGTTTAAAAAATTTATTGTACTAAATTTGTTTATTACAGTCACTTTTTTTGTTAAATTTTCACAATTTTGCAATGGAAATTATTTCTTGAATTGCTATTATAATACCTGATTCAATTAGTTCATCACCATACAATCTTGACCATTTAATTGATGCAAAAAAAATTGCAGTTATGCATTTTCCAATTTGCATAAATAACTTATTTTATAATACTCTAACATTATCAAATAATGAGTAGTTTTAAAAATTAGATTAAATTAAAATGAACCTATCCATATAGAAAAAAATTATCTAGATTTGTATAGAACATGATTTTTTTTTTTTTGTGGGGTGACTGAGACCTGACGTCATCATCATGAAATACATTGTTCAGTAGTAATTCTAGAATCATTTACTTGTGTTAATTATATTAAACAAAACTGTTTATTGAAGAAATAAGTGTGTGTTTTATTAATGCTCTTTTGTAAAATCAAAAATATAAATTTAATTTTCAAAAGACTGCTAATAAATATTAATACTGTATATTAATTTGGCTAAATATTTGATTTGTTACTAATTAACGTTTGTTTGTTACATTATATTTATTTGAATTTTATTAAGCTGAAAGGATTTGCTTTAGGACTAAATACATATAATAAGTCAGTTTTATATTTTTTAATATTTCTTACTATGAGGATTGGAATAACATCTAAAGATCAACCTTAAAGTTGGACAATCTAGATTACTATATATTTTTGAGAGCCCCCTCATAGCTCTCCATAGCTACAACACTGATTAAAGATCTTACAAATTATTTGAATACACAATGTAAGTTAAGTTTGTATCCTAAAACTCTGAAGAAATTTCAATATCGCTTTGATCATTTTGAACAATTTCACATGGGCATGAGACGGCATGTATTCTTTCTAGAATGTTTTTGGCTCCATTATAAAAATGGAAGGATTAAACAAATTCAAAGGAATGTAATTGGCTGGTTTTATACTGAAAATTGGAAAAATGTGAAATCTTGTATGGTTAAACATTTCATGCAAAGAGAATTCCATGGCATAGTGTACAGCAACATTTCAAAGATAGATAAGGGAAATAGAGGAAAGAAGAGTAGGAAGTGGTCAAAAGAGGAGGAAAATGACTGAAAGGAAGAACAACAAATTGGAGGAGGAAGCCTTGGGAAAAGTTGGACAAACACTTAAAAATGGGAAGTTAAAAATTTCACATGGACATATTCACTGGATTCAGAAGGAATGGCAAGTGATTTTCAAGAAGCAAAAGTCTGCTCTATAATACACAATAGGGTTTCTCATTTCGTAATCTTTTTCTTGTCCCGGGATTTCAGGAAAAAAGTGAACTGGATCCCAAGATATAATTAATTATTTTTAAGATATAAAAAATACCTTGAAATTGAATAATATAATTATTTTTCAGTTTTAAAAAGTTTTCAATTTAATATTCAATTTAATTTAATATTCAATTTAAAAAGTTTTCAGTTTTCAATTTAATATGTTCTGCAACCTCCAAAATCATAATATTAATAATGCTCTGTAAAATATATATTAAAATTACCCCTTTAAACTATGTAGAAATTTTCAAAAATAGAAAAAATTTATTAAAGTTTGTTGGAAACTGCTTACAAAAAAACATCTTTTGAATTTAGTTGAAAATTTAAAGAAAAAATGAACTTAAAAAGTAATTTTTGTTTTTTAAATAAAACATAAAAATTTACATTATTATTTTGCATTATAAGATTTTGAAAACCAAAGATGGTCAATGCTCCGATCATTCAATTTGGTTATTATTTTAATTAATAATGAAAAGTCCTGCTACTGAAAATGCCCTTTCCAATTCAATAGATGTGGGTGGAATTCTCTTTAATGCATTTAAGAGAAGTCAAATGTTATGTGTTTTTTCACCTCAAAGATTTCGAGTTTGTTTTTGAGATGCATTGCAGTACTTCTTTTGCTCTTAAATATTCTTGATTTGTTGTACTCATTTCTATCCTTGCCCAATTTGCACAACCTGGCATAATGCAGTTATTGAAGCTATTGGGCATATTTAAAATTAAGACAGCATTGGTGCAAGTATTCCAGATATTACAGGTTCTGACAAGTAAAGAATTTTCAGAGTCCTGCCACAAATACATATTGATTATTGACAATCTGTGAGATGTCATAACAAACAAAAATTTAAAAATCTAATAAGCAGGCTTAAAATTAATAAATGCAAATGTATTCTGACAGTTTATGGATATTAATTATACTTTCTATTTGTTCAACTTTAACACAAAATAAGAAAAAAAGTGAACTTTTTAAGAAATTTGTGGGATTTCCCAGGTTAAAAAAACAGCCGAGATCCCATTTGAAAAACCCTAATATGCAACTAAGCAACTTGTCAAAAAAACTTTTCTGCAGAAGCTGCATTATGGAGTTTCAAAAGCATCAATATTTATGTAGTTATGGATGACAAGTCTTATTTCACTTATGATGGAAATGAATGGACTGATGATGATCAGTTTTTCAACAAAGAAGGGCTAGATGTGGATCCCGAAGTCAAATTCAAATGACACTTTAAGTATTCACTAAAGATTCTGGTTTGGCATGCAGTCAGTCTAAGAGGATGTTCATAGCCCTTCATTGTCCCTTCACGGTTCTCTATCACCAAAGAAATGAATAGCAATGAATGCATTCAGAAGAGGCCAGTACTCTTTCTAAAGAAATACTGGCTATGTCTTCTAGCAAATGGCCACTGCTCATTGTGCTCAAGACATATATTTGCCAAAATGGACCATTTATGGAATTTGGTACATCTCCTGTTAAGCCAACATTTCACAACAGACTGACTGTGAGATTTTAGGATCAACCAAAGCAAAAAGTTTGTAAAAAGGGTTGGTTGGGAAGCTGATCTACAAAGGAGTTCCAACTCCTTTGTATATCAGCTTCCCAACCAATTCTTTTCCACTTCAAAACTGATCAAGACTAAACTTTTCCACTTCAAAACTGACCACTTCCAAATGTTAGTGGAATGGGTTAAGACTAAAGTTCAAATTGCAGCTGATTGTGGTTCTGATCATGCCATCTGAATGTTAAGCAACCTATTTGTACACAAAAATACTAAAATAAATTAATTTTAAACACTGAAATTTGTGCAGGTTTTAGGATAAGCGACCTTAATAATAGTCATAATTCATTTTGTACTTATTTCATTACTGTTGATCTGTAAGTTTCAATTGCATTTTCAACTTTTAACAAAATTTTAATGTTTACTTTTTATTCAATCCTTATAAACAATGACAATTCATATAATACAGGATCTCTAACGTGACTGTATGAATGACAGTGTGAATGAACTTGTAGAAGTGAGTAATTAAATTAGGTTGTTAGGAACAATATTCTGTGATATTTATATGTGCTTTTTTTACATGTATTAGTTATAATATGAACTTGGTTCTTGGACATAATTTAAGTATAATTGTTAAACTGTTTAAACTTTATTAAGTCAAATAAACTGATATAAAGAAACAGCATTTCAAATATTTTTATTTCAATTATTTAAAATTCTCTTTTATTAAATATTTTTTTCTTTTTGAGGATGCTAGAAATAGCCATAAATATTAGTTTCTCTGTGATTTTTATTATTATTTAAAGAGAGCAGTTATATTGATGGCTTATTCACTACTAAATCACTGTTTTCACTCTGATTAAACTGTGAAAACATTGGAAATAAGATTGTCTAATTTTCATTATTTTACAGCTAGTTATATACCTTTTTAGCAATCCAGTGATTTAATATCTAAATTTTTTTCATAGACACCAGATGAGAGGAAAATTTGTAAGAAATACAGGATGTTTCAAAAATGACTACAGATTTTGCAAAATAATAAGAATTTTTATAAAAAAGAAAATATTTCAAACATGGAAAAAATATATTTAAATAAAATACACAGGATGTGAGCCTGATTTAGTTTTTAAATGATCATCACAAATATTTTTACAGATCTCAAAACAACCAGTTTTGAGCTCTGCAGAGATTAGTATGTTTTATGGAACACACATTCTAGCATTTTAGATGCTATCTTAGTCATACAATTTTGAAGATCAGCTAGATCTCTTAATTTTTCTATGGAATTCTTCAATGTTTATGAATTTCCAGGCAAAAAAATCAGCGTGTTTAAATTAGATAAATGTGCTGCTTGTGACTGAGGTCCTCTATGCCCATTCCAATCATTGGGAAGTAGATGTGATAATTTTGAAGAGTTGTTGCATAATGGTATGGTCCTGTTGAAAGTTATCATGTTAAGAATACTGTCCTGAAGAAACTGAGGTTTGAGGAATTGATTGAGAATGTCATGGTGCACAGTTTCTTTAATTGTAACCTCCAAAAAAATGTCCATAAACCTTCTTACTGGTACTTAGTCAAAACCATGATGCCAATAATAAACATTTTAAAGTTTTTATATATCTAATTTCAACATATTAGTCACTTTTGAAACATCTTGTACAGCAAATTTAGAAAGTTCTTTTATGTTCTCTGATTTGAATATTTATTTATTTTTTAATTGGATAATTAGAAATAATTTTATAAAAATGCATATTATCTAAGTAATAATTTAAATTTAGAGTTTTTATAAACTTTTTATTAAATTTTGATTTTTAGGAAGCTAGTGGTGAATTATCTTTAGATGGTGAAGTTGTGTCACCAGATTATACATGGTCTTTTACTGAATTTATACAGCAATTTAATCAGTTGCATGACTGGCTTCATAAACTTCAATCTACTGTAGTCGTTAATACTGAAGATGATGATAAGACTGTAGTAAAAGTGAGTATTTCAAATTATACTTTATTTTTTATTTTACAAGTGTTTTATTATAAGGGTGAATAAAAAATTATATGCAATGCAGTGCAAGTTTTTTTCTATAGACTGTGCCATTATTATCGTGCATAGTGATTTACATTCTCCTACTCGCACTATTATAGTTTTGAACATGATAGCTCTGCTAACTTATCATCACACCATTAACTGTTGTCTTTTTGTCTTTCCTACTGCATCAAAGAATAGAAAAACAATACAATCTTACTTAAATCAGTAGAACAATATTTCAATAAGCCAGCTAACCTTTTCAGCTATCTTCAATGGGGTTCTCTAGAACAGCCTGATAATGGTTATTATAATTTTAAAAAACATTCAATCCTTGAATGTTTTTTCAAATTATAACAAAGTATAGAAGTGAACAAATTTAAAAACCAAGCAATGCATTATGATTGTAAGTTCTTATACTGTATTACTAATATAGCCAAACTAAATAGGATGATAAGAAACAAAACACCTTTCTTGCCGAGAAATAAATATAATTTGAAAAAACAAACGTTTTCAGCCTAGTTAATAGGCCATCTTCAGGTCGAAAAAATGGAACGTAAATTTACGTTCCACGTTTGTTTTTTCAAATTATATTTATTTCTCGGCAAAAAAGGTGTTTTGTTTCTTATTATTTAGTTGCTGAGCGCTTTTGATATTACTAAATAGGATGCATGAGATATGTTCTTATATTACTAATAAGACCAATCATAATGCATGCTTGTTTTTAAATTTGTTTGCTTCCTATACATTTGATGTTCCAAATTCCATTATAACCTTTAAAAAAACACTTGATCCTCTAGAACAGTGGTTCCCAATTAGTTTTTCCTGCGTACCACTTCAAGAAAGAGCTCAAACTCGCGTACCCCTTATAGCAGAAATTCATATTAATCCATACTAATATTATAAATTCGAAGGTATTGCTGTCTGTCTGTCACCTTTTCACATCTAAACCGCTGAACAGGTTTTAATAAAATTTTGCACAGAGATAGCTTACACGTTGGAGATGGACATAGGCTACATTTTACTGCGAGAAAATATCTTACTCCCACGAGAAAATTCGATATAATGCGGGCGAAGCTGTGGGTAGACAGCAAGTGATAAATAGAATGTTTTTTTTTACATTTATTACCTTTAAAATACAATTCTAATACAGTAATAATGAAAATAACATAAGGTTATTTAATTTTAACGTGACAAATGTGCACGATTTTCTTTGCACAACTTTGTAAAATCTGGTTGCTTTTGGGTCAGCTTCAGTCTCGAGTCATCTTCGAGTTGAAGTCAGTGACGATGTTTAGTTTTCACGTTTGTCATGGCGAAAATCCGCTCTCGCAGAGGTATGTTGTGCAAAATGGTAGTAAATATTTTATTGCTGCTTCACTGACATGATAATGATAATTGTACAATTTTTATTTCTTGTGAATTTAGGTATTGTCACAAATGCATTTTTTAACAATGAAATTTCGGGAATGTTTTTAGTTATAAATAAACGAATTTGTGCATTCCACATCGTGTTGTAAATTGCTGAATTTTTGATGGTCCAACCATTATTATTTTTTGATTGTTTCATCTCATGCATTTAAATTTTAAATCGGCCGATTTTAGATTGCCGTGCGTACCCCTTCATGCAATTTCGCGTACCCCCGGGGGTACGCATACCACTAATTGGGAACCACTGCTCTAGAACAGTCTAATGGCCATTGAAGGCTGCTTAAAGTGTTAGCCTGTTTATTAAAATGTTCCTTTGCTGATTTAAGTAAGGTTGTATTTGTTTTGTAATTAAGGATTGAATCAGTTTAGATGTATATTGTATCAAAAAAAGAGTAATGGGTGCAATTTAGTTTTTCTGAAAATGTATGAGGAGTCAGAATTCATTTGAAAAGGCTTTTAATGCGATATGAAGATATTTTGTCTCAGTAGTGTGTCTACTTGTGGATTGTTATAGAAAAAGGCCAAGATAAATAAGTGTTAACAATGATTTCCATAGAGCAAAAACTGAAGAAAACAATAAATGTGTGGCTTTTCTCTTGATTAAAAAACATTTTTTCTAAGGAATGAGATTGATGGAGCAACAATGGTGGAACTGCTATGAAAAGTAGAGGAAGTAATGTAAAAAACTTCTTATAAGATTATTGTTGTTGAATAATTTTATAATCATTGCATATAATTATTGATTCACTGTTTGAATTAATTTATATGATTAATGACTGAAATATATTTCATATATTATTGTGACTACATGTATTACAAATTCATTATTGTTCTCAGATTGAATTTATAAATAAAATTCTGAATCACATGTAATAAATTGATTGATTGATTTTTATTTGATTTGATTATTCTTTTTATGAATAGAAGTTGAAAAATTCCTATTTTTTTAAAAAATTTAAAAAGTTTGAGATAAAATTAGGATCTTAATGAAAATTACAAGAAACAATAACACTTAATTTCATTCAGTAAATTATTTATAATAAGTTAATGAACGAAATTTGCAATAAAAATTATTTTGAGAAAACTTTAAATCTTAAGATCCCACAAATATTTTTTTTGTGGAAAGTAAAAACTTCCACAAAAAAAATATTTGTGGGATCTTAAGATTTAAAGTTTGCTCAAAAAAAACTGCTGTCAATGATTTTTAGAATTCATGAACAATATTATATAGAACTAGCAGAGATACCTGGCATTATTTATAGAAATTTAATATTGCATGCTTGACAGTATAGAAAACTTTAAAAAGACATCTTTACTATTAGAAATAAGAATTATTATTATTGAGTAGATTGATATACAGGTAACCCTTATACAGTGGTGATATTCAGCGGGTTCGCACAGGTTCGGCTGAACCTGTTGTTAACATTTTCAAAGTTTTCCGAACCCGTTGTTAAACACACGTAACATTTCTCAGCAGTTTTGTTTCTTTTAAAAAATATACGAAAATATACGTATTATACTCTGTAACACTACTAAACTAGAGCCTTATGCCCCGTTCGCCATGTTCCACTTGTCGCCGTTCGCATATAACCTCCATCGACCGTTTCAATCTCGACTGAAACGAGATTTAATCGCGATCGACTCAAGAGAGTTCTTGAAACTAGATCCAGTCATACGAGGGATCCCA